ACCGAATGAAGGGCGGGGCTAACGAGCCTTTCTTTCTGACTTCTGTCCTTTCTCGGAATTGGCGCGCCCTGCGCCGTTCTAAGTCGGGATCTCAGCCAGCCCCCTCATATTTGGGGAATAATCCTTTACATTCCTGACTAATGGCCTGATTTTCTTCCAAGATGCTCAGGTCCATTTCACACTTTGTGGAGAAATGCTAGTAGAACGAAAGACTGGCGGTTTTCACTATAAGCTGTAAACTACACATCCCTAACTATACATTTAGTAGACACGTGTCAGGAAGCTAGAGGGACAATCAAACTCTATGTCAACTAACCGCAGATGCGAAGATGCATAGCTGGTCCGTTACATTTTAATGATTACATTAGGGCTGGGGATACTGAAAATAGCAGGGGAGGCCCTCAAAATTTGATTTTGTGAAATTAACAATGACTCCCAGGAGGACAGCGATTTCCTCCAGATCTCTAAGCAGAGATAGCATCTGGATTGCCAAACTCCGGAGGATTACTAGATGGTAGCAAAACTAGCTCCCATCTAGAGGTCATCAGGAACTTGGCCACACAGTTATTATAGATCCACTCCTAAGGATACTTCCAGGTAAGAATGTTACTGTGCAATCACACTCCCTCATTTGTAGAATCTTATATGGAATCCAGATTTTGCTCTCCTCCTCCTCCTCCTCTTCCAGAGAAAAGCTGCATAAAGTGTGCAAGTCTATTTTAATAAGCAGTGCTAGGTTTCTGCTGTCAGGTGTGTCTCCCCCTTTGCTAACTAGATATTTGAAGCTGTTTTTCACTACCTACAATGTCCCTAGTTGGGCTTTTGGCATGTCCCAAATTTCAGGTTGTGTTTGCATAACAAATTGCCTGTAAAGCCTTTTCCTCACATGCAGTTTAAATCAGGACCAATATTGCTTTGGAGATTCAAGATCCAGTGATCTGCTTCTAGCTGTTACCTCTGTTGTAGCGTTACCCAAAGGTTAGGGTTCGGGTGCTTCTTCCTGGCCAGAACCCAGAGGTACTATTTCTCTTCTGGCATTTGATTTCTCAGATGGGTTCAGACCCCAAGATTTATTTCCTGCTTCTGGCCCACCGTTTTTTTTAATCAAATGTGATTGTGGTATTGGTGCCTATATTATTTAACATTGCCTTTCAGCAGTAAGAAGGCTTTATGAACAGTTAGGGGAATTAACTGTTTATAAGCCTCCTCATTTCTGCCAACCCACTGCTCTTTCTCTTGCTGCACTACCATGACTAAATACAGCACCTCACTGCAAAATATCCAGAAGAGGGATGGCTTTACAAAATTATGAGGTGTAGAACTTAACCCCCCTACCCTCACCACAAGGGAGAGATAAATATTTTGGAATGCAACATGCAAGTTACATGAGCATTCTCTTTGCCACTTTACCACCCACCTCTCCCCAACCTGTCAGCTGTTGCACTGAATTGGGCTGCTTTTGAACCCAGTTTTAATGCTAAATCTGGGTCCAAAAGCAGTCCAAACCATCACTGACGGGTGCAGGGAGAGGGTTGCACTATGAAACAGCAGAAAAAGATCTGTCCCCCCTCCATTTCACTGCTTAATCTGCCCCCACCCCATGCTGATACAGGTTTCTGGGCCATGGCTTGGTTTGAAAATCTGGTGTGCACGGTAGGACAGCAAGGTTTTGGGGAGGAAAAACAGACTCTCTCACTCCCCAAAGCCCTGGAGAACAGTGCACAGGGATTAGAGGGGAGAGGAGATGACCATTCCAGGCAATAGATGCCAGACAGACCCCACTTCCTTGGGGTCATTTGACAGTATCACTGTAGAGCAAATAAAATTGACCACAGTAAACCTACTGTGGCTTGTTAGCAGCTTAAAGGAGAAAACATTTCTTGACCATCAAAGCAGTTTAAGACAATGTTAAACTACCCCAGAGACAAGATGAAGACAATCCTCATTGGGACAGGGCAGAAAAAAAGTGGTTGCTCAAACAGGTGGCCTCCATGGCTAGGAGGTCCTTTGAATAATTCCATCCAGTGCACCAATTGCACCCGTTCCTGGACTGGGAGGCACTGCTCATTGCCACTCATGACTTAGTCATCTCTCAGTTGGACTACTGTATCTGTGGTCAAAATGGAGCTACCCTTGAAAACTTTCTGAAAGCTACACTTGGCCTAGACTAGAGCAGTGGAGGTAGAGCTGGTCACACCTCTACTTTGCAAGCTGCACTGGCTCTTGGGTTTTTTTAGTTTTATCTTATATAAAGCCCTTCACAGCACAGGACCAGGTTATTTGTGGGACCAATTGTCTTTGTTGGTTTATGCCTGTCACATATACTCCAACAGAGTGAGCATATTCCAGATCCCTTCCTTGAAACAATGTCATCCAAGGGGATTTAGGAGGCATGTCTTCTCAGTAATGGCATCTGCCCTGTTGAATGCGCTCGCTCGCTCGCTCGCTCTCTCTCTCTCACACACACACACACACACACACACACCGAGATTCAACTGGCTTTGACTCCACCAGCCTTCAGGAAGGCTTTCCTCAAGACTGTTCCCTCAGGCATTGGGGCCAGGATGTTAGATAAGCTCATCTTGTGAGGTTTAGTATATGTTGATGTGTCCCAACTATGTGTCTGGTTGTGTGTTTTTGGCTACTTTATTTATGTATCTACTGTAATTGTGTTTATTGTTGTATTTTGCCCGGTCACATTATTACGAGTTGGGCAGCTAGATAATCCTTAAATTAAATAAATACATACTCATCCCATGTTTAGGTGCAAGTAGGGAAAAGGTGCTTAGATTGAAAGGTATCTTCCCCTTAGTTAATCTTTGGTTTAATTAACATAATCTTTCCAGCTATCCTAGAAAGCAGTACAGCTTCCTGCTTTCCTAAGTTTATATCTAGCCAGCTGTCTATACCATTAACTAGGGAGCCAGCTTGGTCTAGCGGTTAAGGCACCAGGCCAGAAGCCAGGAGACCGTGAGTTCTAGTTCCGCCTCAAGCACAAAGCCAGCTGGGTGACATTGGGCCAGTCACTCTTCCTCAGCCCTAGGAAAAAGGCAAGGGCAAACCACTTCTGAAAATGTTGCCAAGAAAACTGCAGGGGCTAGTGCAGGCAGTCATTGGGGGTCAACACTAACTTGAAGGCACAAAAACAAAGAAAGTGGGGTAAGTTAATTTTTTCTAAAGAGAAGTTTCTACACTACTGGCATTGATCCCAAATTGGAGACACTTAACAGAAAAGGATTCTTTCATGTCAGATGTTGAGAAATGGAAAAGAGGCAAAACAACTGATTAGATTGTTTTAAATAGTCTTAACAGCCTGGGATCTGTGAACTTCAATTCCTAAAATTCCAATTAGAGGCATCCACATTTTAAAGATTAAGTTTTTGGATCTGTGGGATATGACCTTTTAAATTCAACCGCTAACCATCCATTTTTATGTACAACAAAATATAATTTATGCTCTATCTTAAAGCTAACTCACTGTTACCATTTTCAGGTACAGCAGCATGATGTACTTAAAGCAGTCTTCTCTAACCTAGCCCCTTGTCAAATATATGGAATTCACCCCCTTCTCTCAATTCTTAGCCAGCCAGCATGGCCACTGCTGAAATTCTAGGAACTGAAATTCACATATCTTGATGGATCCCAGGCTGTTAAGACTATTTTAAATGTAATGATCTTATGGAAAGAATGAGCCTTCGGGTGATTATCCTACCTTTTTGAACATGTGACCTTTGTTTGGGCCATCACTTGTTCAAATTGCTGTGTAGAATCTCAGCCTTTGGGCTTAAATCACAGTATGTTTAATGTCTTCACTTGTGACAATTGCTACTCCTTAGAAGTGTGGAACAGAATGTCCAGAGTTTCATCATTATATGAAAACCATTCAAAATGGTGCTTGTAACTGAGTTACTTGAAAGGCTGCCTTCTTCAAGTGGAATTGACCCTCCTGACTGGTGTATCTTGAGAGAAACTGTTGCTCATCCCCCATTTCTACAAGGACAGGGACAAAAGCTTGTAGGTACTGCTTCTCTGTAGAAGCACCTTGTTTATGGAACTGCCTCCTCCTAAAAATTAAGTTGGCTGTCCAGACCTTCTGGAAACTCCTTAAAACTGAAATTTCTAAGGATTTATGGGAAGGACACCCAGTTTGTTTTGACAATGTTTATGGTTTTAGAATTTTATCTATTTTAGTTCTTACCATGAATATTTTATTTAAATTCTTGTATTCCTTGTAAATTACTGTGAACCACCAAAAGTCTCATGATTGTAGTGGGTATAAACATAATAAGTAAATTATAGTGAATTGCTTACCTTTTACAGCAAATCAGAAGATGCTATACATTGCATCAGCCTTATACATTCAGTTATGAGTACCAAAGAAAATTAAAATGGACTCCAGAATGATCAAGGCTAGTCTCTGAGTGCTATTACTTACATATGTTAAAATGGCTAACAGTTCATAACAGTAAAATTATCAAATTAGGTCACTGATGTAAATTAACCCTAGTAAAGGCAAACAGCATTTTGATACATTCAAACTGAAAATGACTCTTGCTTCAGTTGGTTTGTCATGAGCATATAACATTTGAAAACCCAAATATTTCTAAGTATTGTCTGGTTGTTTTGAACAAGATGCTGTAGTGAACAGTGGCAACGTAGCTGCAGGTCCTGTTGGAAGACACTGAGAATCTTAAATCATTTCAATCTTGGTTCAGGCCTGGATTTGGGACAGATTGGCTTTGGACACCTCAATAAATGTGCTTTACTGAGGGACAGGGAGAATGGTACTCTGTTTCTCCTTCATGTCTCAATAGCTTTTAATACAGTCAAAGCTTGTACTTTCCTGGATTACCCTTGTCCTATGAGATTGGATTAAAAGGATGGTTTTCCATTCCTTTGGATTCTGTTCCTATTTGCAGGACAGAAAGTGAAAGATAGCCACAAGTTATAACTTTGTATGTAATAATAACATTCTATAAATACATTAGGTGTAATCAATACATTTGGGACAAGATATCATCATTTGTATTTCCATTAAAATCTATCTAGTTTGACTATGCATATCCACTACCTACAATCAGTGGTGAGAGATTGAGCACAACAGAGCTGAGAGTTAGTCTTGATAAGGGTGAAATTCTGCGAGTGGCTGGTTTCAGACTTGGGAGTTGGCAATTAATTGATCATGGGTGGGATGGTACTCCCTGCTGCAGGAACAGAGATGCTGTTTGAGACTGCTTATGGATTCAACTTTTTCACTAGAGGCCCAATTGATTTCTGTGGCTAAAGAGTGCCTACCACCAGCTTCAGTTTTTGTAATAGTTGTGACTGTCCCTGTTTTGGACAAAGGATAACTTTACCCAAGTGATGTATCCAGTGGTGTTGAATCACTGCGACACTCTCATACAAAACTGCCCTTGAGTGTGGCTCAAATGTTACAGGTAGTGCAGAATGCAACAACTAGTGTCAGTGAGGCTCACTGCTGTGCACAAAATATCCTTTTGCTGAAATCATAGATCACATCCTAGGTGGCTTTAACCATCCAGGACAGACCCGGAGCTAACATTATTACATCTTATTGAATCATCTTATTGGCTATTTGACTTTTTTGGATTTTTGACACTTGTTTTTATTTAGCTTCCTTCCTTTCATAAAATGGAGGCGTTTATACTTCTAGCAACTCTGTAAAGAACTCTGGAGGGGTGTGTGTGTGATAGGCTTTAGCATTACTTTCTCCAGCAAAGTACTGATCGCAATCATGGATGACAAAAGGTTTAGCCTCTGAATTTCTGCACACCTGGGGGGTCAGGAAGGAATTCAGTGGCCATAAAAATGGTTTTGAGAATGGCACGTGAGGCCTGTAGGTTCCCCCCTCCCTGCTCTACAAGCTACACAGAATGCAGAAGGGTTGAAAGCAGTTTATGGACTAGGTACAGATAACCTTAAAAAAATCAGATTATATAATAGCACAGATATTATTTAACCCAAAGTATCAGCAATTTAAAACTCATGTGAGGTAGTAAACTAAAGCAGTTATGAAAATGAGTGAAGCTGACACTGCTTCCCATGATGTACATACATACATTTCTTGTCTGTCAGCTGTGATCAGATTTTACAGGTTTCCAAAACAGTATGAACTTCCTGTTGACAGAACTGATGTCTGTATATACCAAAATCAGAATTTTCTATATCAAACTGCCTTCATCTCCCCTGCTCTTTACACATACTTAACCTCAAGGCTATAGATCTAATTCTGCCGCATTGGTTTGTTCTTGGCCCACGAATAAGATAGGAAGCACATTAGTTCTCTCACTTACAGCCATATGTTAATTCTACAGAGGATTTATTTCTTTCTTCCCAGCACCTGAGCATCCCCTTATGGCATATTGGCATCTCTGGAGCAACAGGCAACTCCCCAGTGGGTCTTTCCTGATGGATATTGATCTTACTGTTCTACACGAGACTCTGTGAATGCAGATGTTTTTCGGAATGGTAAGATGAAATCTGCTTGCCCTGGGGCAAGCTGGGGAAATGTGAGGTTAATGTATTTCTGAAATGCTTCCCTGGTTTCTAATATTTCAGCTTCCAGGCTGTCTTTCCAGGCTGTCATGTATTCCAGCTGCTGGTTCAGAGACAGGATCTCACCATATTTCCTGTTCACTTCGTTGTTCACCTCTTCAAGCTGAGCCTCGCGAACATTTTCAGCATTTTCAAGCAGTTTCTTAGCTTCTTCCTCAAACTCTTTTTGGGAGACCTTAAAGGCAGTTTCTAATTCATGTTTTTTCTCCCAGGCTAACTGTTGCAGGTTCTTCTGATAAATTTCATTAGCAATTATCCCAGCCTGGTGAATTTGCTCCAAATATTTCCTGGATGAATGAAAGAACATACAGTCAGTTTAGAAATGATTTCCATTGCCAGTGACTTTGAACTGCAGTTTATGCAGATTGCTTAATTAAAATATTAACTTATGTAGACAGTTAAAGGAACAAGAGTAAGCCCAGAGTAAAAATCTGCAGAGAGTAAGGAAGATGACCTTGACAGAAATATGCAAGATCCATCACCAGGGCGGTGGGGTGTGAAACATATTTTAAGCCCGCAACAGACAGATAATATTCAGAAGCAGCTCAGACAGACACCTTCCTGATTCACCGAGTATAAGAATGGGGAGAAGGTCCAGCACAGGGAAACCTGCAAGATTCTGTTAATCTCAATAAAAGTAGTTTTAGCACTTCATATGGAGTTATTTTCTTGATCTGGTCAACCTAGCGGGGCTGACAAAATCCAAATGGCAAAACTCACATTATTCTATTGCACTAGCTTATACCCCTAAACTCATATTTTAGGGAGTTGGCTATACTGACTCAGTAAAAAATTGCAAAACCTTGCAAATTGCAGTACAAGACACAGGATAGCTGGACAGGTCAAAATTTTCTTTTCTGAAATAAGTTTAAATTCTTTTTAAAAAGCCTATATTATAGATATTTCTGTAATTAAGGTTGAGGAGAGAAAATACAAAGCTTCTTCTTTCTTGCTGTTACCGCATTAAATTTGGAGGCGGTGATTTTATCCATCTTTGAAGAGCAGGCACTTAACTCAAATGAAGTAAAAAATATGGGTCATTTCTTCACAGTTGACTTAAGAAATAATTACACTGTCTAGTCATCTTCAATATAACTTCATTTATGTATTCAAGATCTGGTCATACAGTATTCAGATTTCTGATGGCATATGGCTATTCACAGAACAAAACTTTTGACGTAATTACTTTTTTTCAATGTCCAATTATTCATTAATTGTCTAAAGTTTTGGGGACATGACTTAAGCACTGCCTTTGTCACTCTACACGGAATTTGTCAGATTATATGTACAAAATAAAAATGGAGCATGAATTAGTTCAAGTTTTAAATAGGGATATAGGCCCCATCATCTCAGAGGAGTTCAGATATGTGCTTCTGCAGGCATAAGGAAGGGCCTTTTCTAACAGTGCATTGTCCTTAAATGAGAAAAGAGGATAAAGCCAGAAATATGCCTTAACTGGCACAAGACAATGGTCTTGTACATAATTATTTAAAATTATTTAATTATTTAAAATACTAACAAAAGAATACACCACATTTGCATGCATAGCACAAAGGCCTACCACACTAGACCTTACAACAGTTTAACAGAGCAGTTGGAGAGGATTTCTTCCCTTCATGAAACTCTGGATCAAACACAATGTCTGATACAAAATCATACATTTTTTTAAAAGGACATATGATAGTTAAACTCAGTACTTTTCTTGCTTGCTAAGAAGTACAGCTATCTTGTGTCTCTCATCCTGTCTTGCTTCAGATACAGTTGCCATTTTTTCCACAGAAAGCTGTAGCATGATCCGCTGAAGTTTGTGACTGTTCCTCTGCTCAGCAGCTTCTGATTCTCTCTTCAGCTCCAGTTCCAAGTGCTGCAACATTTCTGCCCTTGTTTTCTTCACAGTTTCCTTTAGCAAAAATAAATACACCAATAAATACATCAGAAGAACAAAAAAATCAGAATAAGAAAAAGTTACTGTTTCTTCCTCCTGCTTTAAATAAGAGCCTGGAAAAAATGTAACTGCCAGAAGCAGATTGAGTTTTTGAATCCTTTCCTATCTTAAGCTTCCTGCTGTGTACAAACCTAGCATGTCGGGGGGGGGGGGGGGGG